GAGAGAGAGAGAGAGAGAGAGAGAGAGAGAGAGAGAGAGAGAGAGAGAGAGAGAGAGAGAGAGAGAGAGAGAGAGAGAGAGAGATGTACAATACCGCACATATGCTCCCACCATTATTTGTTACTGCACGTCGAGACGGACAGTCAATCTAAACATCTCAGGTCTATTAAAAATTTGAGGTGAATAAAAAAAAAAAATGCATCAATGGAAAAACGATGTAGAAATGGTGCCTACGGAGACTAATACGAATTCTGTTTTAAACAAAACAACGAACCAAGTCAATTACACAATTTCTTTCAACAAGGCAGAGGTGAAGTTGTAATCATATCACTAGATTCTCCCCCTCCAATTGCACCCCTCCCGCCTCACCCACCCTCACCCTTTTAATCAATATCAGCAGTTAAGGTGTCGAGGTTGCGAGAACGGTGCATTCCCTCCACATCCCCTCCCTTCCCGCCATCCCCACCGGCCCCTCCCTGTGGTATCAGCGGAGATTGTGCATCACCTTTGCCAGTGCATAAAGACGGTTGCAACTGACTTTCCGCCACGCTCGGCCCAACATCAGACTCTGACTCGATCTCGGATCTGCCTTGCATTGCAGTATTTGTTATCAATAAACTCCCGTACGTGGCACCTGCATCCGACGGCAACGTCGTTGACACATCGATGGGTGGGGACGATTGTGCCGCGGCGACCGAGATGGATTTTTCCGATATTTGTGGCTTAGACGTGATGTCAACCTCTTGAGGCCTGACAGCATTAGTCCCGTCATCTCCCCTATGCCCTGCTTGCGCGGCCATGGAGGCTGACTCAGCCGAAGGCATGAACTTATGAGAGCAGCTCCCCTCCAAGGTTCTGGCGGTTTGATCAACCTTCCAGTTGATTGACCCGCGTGAGGGACTCGAGCGCAGGGCATAAAATATGTTGTTGTACTCCAGTTGTCGACTGTCGCGCAAGACATGAAACAATTTTTCGGCCTCGGCTTTGATGGCGGCCTCGGTCTGCCCTGGATTCTCGACGCGCACGCGATGCAGGATCGCGAGTTCCGTCGTTTTCAACCAGATGTCCTTTGACATCCGACGAAAAGTCTTCCAACCGCTTGTGTATTTCACCGCCATCTTCCACTCCCCATCTTGGATGCACGGCTGTAAAACGCCCTCATGCCATATGATGTCATGGCCACACTGATCCTCGCCTATGTGGGTGTGTTTGCCCTCCAAGAAATATATCGTGTCCGGGTCAGCACAGTAGCCTGAAGGAATTGCATCGCCTGGTGCGAGCGTCGACGCCTCACCTGGTATCTCAATGTCGTCTTCTTCATTGCCACCGCATCTTCCAATGTCTTGCAATGCCCCAGTCTCCGACGGGGCCACCATTGAGGCGACGCTTGGGGCGGCCATTGGGATGGACCCTCCAAGTGAATGGACAATTCTGACATCGTGAGCTCGCACCAATCCAACGCGCGGAACCTCAGCACATGTGTCCTCGCCCAGTCCGAGGTCGGAGTCCGAAGAATCTTCCTCGCTGTCGACGGGGTTAAAGCCATCGCCCGATTTCGCGAGCTCTGCGTAGTCCTTGGACGTCAATTGGTCTTTGCGAAGATCGAACTTGAGGATCTCGCATCGAGCAACAAAAGTCTAAAAGGCGCCAGTGAGAGCACTGTGATAATGTTTGAGGGTCTTTGTTGCCTTTGCTTTCCTGTATATATATTTCCCATCAAGCCGTCCTTGTGGCATATCGCGGAACAGGTACTCCCACACCTTCAGTCTCTTACGCCCCAACTTGTGGAACATGTCCCTGTTCGGGCGATGTTTGCAGAGCGGTTTCTCGACGTGGCAGTTGAATCTGTCGTCCTTGACAAGTATATCGATGAACTTTGTCAAATATGCAATGTCCTTCACTGACTCGTCACAGGCAATGACATTATTCCCTGCCAGTAAGAATTCCCACACAAGACCCGCGTGCGCCCTACCCAACAAAAGCACACCTTCCGCCTCCCCAACGAACGACCCGCACAACGAACGCAACTTGCCAGGCTCTCGCTCCCATATGGAATACACCACACTTTCATCGCCCTCTATGCCACCGTGTTTCCCCAGACACTTCCCGAACTTCTCCTCCACAACATGCACATTTGTGAGGTCATTGCTAAGGTGGGGTGCGACCGTGACCTTTCTGAGATCCCCTCCCTCCGCGTGCAGGACAATGGCCATCATGTCTCGACTCGCCGTAGCGATATTGCCGTACTTCGTGATGTCATTCGATGGCCTGTCCACCCGTTTCCAGGTTCTGAGGATGAGTTCAATGTCCTCCCACCGGAATAAGCATCACAGAACATCACTTTGCACCTTCTATGGTGCGAAGACAAAAAAAACTTTATTAACGCCGTAACACTTAGTCATCATAGAGTGCAGAGCGTCGAACTCTTGAGAGGTCCATGACGTGCAGAAGTTGGCGGGGGAGATGTCAAGGATGACGGCCCTGCAGGTCATTTTTTGCGCCGCAGCGACGATGTCGTCTGGCGCAGCCAGCACTCCCTTCAATGGCATGCACACCGGTTGCAATGTTCTTTGTTTTTTAAGTTTATCCCACACGCTATGACGTGCGCTGGAGGCGACCCGTTTGACCTCCGCTCAAAGCAGATCGAGCTTATCGATTGAGGTGTATACAAACACCTTAAAGTGGAAAGGAGCCTCCTTATACATTGCCGCCGTAGGGCCCAAGCCTGATCCTTGCCTTGCCTCCTCCACCCCTCCAAGTCGTCGAGGGACCGTCTTCACTTTGCTTACATGCAGTTTGTCCCATTCCTTCTCTCATTCAGCTGCGCACAGACCGTTCGGCCCATACCTGTCTTCAGGGTCTTTGTCTGACATGAAGAAAGCATCATTCCATTCATCGTCCGCCCTTCCCTCGGCGCAGAAAACAACGTAGTTGAACATACGGACCATGTAGTGTTCCTTGTGCATGATGTCGAGGAGGCACTCCGTACTCAATCTCGGAGGCATGACCTTGACGTTCGTCGCGACCACCTTCCCTTTCATGAGTAGGAGCAGTGCAACTTCCCTCTCGCGGCACGTCAAATCCCCAAAATTTTTGAAGTAGGAAGGACAGAGATCCTTCCACGACACGGTGGAGCCTTTGGGACCATCTCTTGCGTAAATGCAATGGTATAATGTCCTTTGCCCCTTCGTCTCGTCGGTGTATGGGCCTGGCTGGCGCCCCTCCATCCTGCCCGGCATGTCAAGCGGTATTTTACCATCGCCAACTGGCAGCTTCCCCTCGTTGAACATCTCGAAGAACCTCTTGACCAGTGGCCACACAGCCTCGGTGGATGTGGCGAGGTTCATGTAGCCACGGAGCTTATTGCTCCAGTCCTTACTATACTCATTCTCGAGCGCTTGCTTCACGAACGCCTTGTCGCATGCCTTCCCCATGGAGGCCCTTAAGAAATTATGCCACTTCTTTTGGTGCGCAACGGCGACCTCATCCTTATCGCTGACCTCGCCTTTCGGGGCCTCGATTTGGTGGTTATCGATCCACCATTGCCTCATATCACGGACAGCATCCTCGAAAGACAACATCATGGCCCGATTTTCGCGCGTGTTGTCGAAGGCGGAGACATTGAAATACCCTCGTGGCTGGTCATCTCCAAAATAGACGACCCTCACCTTAGAGTACGCGCGAAGGCCAAAGACGTCGACTGTATGAGAGCCCTTTTTCACCAATGTCTTCATCGCCTCGACCGTATGCTGACCACAGACTGCATACCAATCGAACTCCGAGGAGTCTTTTTCGAAGAATTCGGTCGGTGTTATCCGCCTTCCCTGCCCGCCGACGATTTCGTTGCAGTCAACCGGCGCAAGCACGAGCTCAGGCCTATCCCACGCCCCCGGTTCCGTGGTGATGGAACTCTCGATGGCATTCTCAATGCCTCGTACAATGTTCGCAGACAAAGAGCGGTGGTTGAAAAGAATATTTCCGCAGGGAATGCGTTTGATTTTCATGACGTCCACAAGAACAGGAAGGACTTTTTGCTTAGCAAAACCCCACTCGTCGTACTCGAGGAAGAAACAACGCGTCGTGTCGATGGGCGCAGCGAGCTGAAGCGGTTCATCACCATCGTCGGGCATGCGAGGGCCCACTCCCTCGCCCTCATCCCCCGAGTCCCGCAGTTCTTCTGCCCTCACTATCTGCTTACCTTTTCTTGCTCCACCACGGCCGCCGCCACGACCGCCAGATCTCCCCCCCTGGCTGCTCTTCCGAGGAGGTCTCGCCTCCTGGGATGCTATAAGAGCTCCACGAGCCTCATTAACAGTGTCAGTCCTCGATTGTCTCTTGTGAGCGGAAGCAGAAGGAGAAGTTTCTCTTGTCCTTTTCCTTGACTTTGATCCTCCGTGCTCCTGCGAGTCATGCCAACCCTGACTCCCGCCTTGCGAATGCCATATCGCAGGGGACGACAAGGGCTGACCAACCGCGGCTCCCACAGAACCGGCGGGGATGTCGCCAGGGCCATGCTCCGACGTGACACCGACGTCGTCATCGCCAAGCATGTTCTGGTCCTGCATGTTCTCATCCCCAACGTCCATGTACTCGTCATCACCGCCATCACCACAGCTTCCCCCATCTTCTTCATCCTCGTTTCGCTCAATCAGGGCAGTCGCACCTTCCTGGACACTGTTGCGGGCAGCATTGCTTCCGCACATAAGTCTGTCATCGTACTGCGTAGCCTCGCTAGAACATTGAGCGAGATCGTGACCTCCCCTCACCGCGGGCAAGGGCGAGGGCAACGCGGCTGGCAAAGGCTGAGCTGGACAAGCAACCAACTGTTTCCTCTTCCCAACCGGTGCGGATGGCGGCTGACGCGATTTCCTCGAGCTCGTGACAAAGGGCACAAAAGCGCAGTCAGCTTACTGGTCCAGAGGCAGCCTCCAGAAGGCTTCCCTGTACTCCTTAACAACACCTGGTAGTTGGTCCGCCGGGCTGCTGAATTTCACCAAGGGTTTGGTAAGCTCCAAGGAACTGTCGACGACAGGAAGGCAGCCAGTGACGCGGTAGCCATTCGTTCTACTGAGGAATTGTTCCGCAGTGAGCATGCGAAGCTCGGCGCCGTCCCCGCGCACGTCAAACCCTTTCATGGAGAAAGCCTTGACGTCGTAGCCTTGAAAGAGCCGCAAGTTAAGGCCGACCTTCTTGTCTTCCTTGACCCAATTTGTCCCATCCTTGTCGAAAACCAACGTAAGAAAGAAGGTCCTGAACGATCTCCTGTCGTAGGTATTCCTGGCGCTCTCAGATTTCTCAACACCCCCACAGCAATACCACGTCGCACCATTGTCGTCGCTCAAGAAGACGACGGCCCCACACCTAAGGCTTATGCAGACCACCAACCCAGTCCAGAGCCCATGGTTTGTTGTTGTACATCTTTGACCTGCCGTATGCCCGAGAGGTCAAAGCAGGAGGTTAACCTAGAGGGCAAAAACAAAGGAAACGCACAAGCAAAGAAAACATGAGGAATAAACAAAAGCACTTCGCGCGAGGAACCGACGGGCCCCCGCTCGCGTCGTCAAGGATCGTGGATCCGCCCTTCTCCAAATGGCAGACCCCCATCTCCACAACCGCGAGGGTCGGACGTTCTGGAAACGCCCGACCTCCAACCTCCCACCCTCCGTGCACCTAGGGGGTCCGGCATCTCCAAAACGGCCGATTTCCAGACCCTCGTCTCCCCACCATCGTTTCTGAACCCCCGACCCCCGACGTATCCGAAAGGGGGTCTGGCGTTCCCTAAACGATAGACACCCCACCCCTCGTTTCCTGAAGGGGGTCCGGCGTTCCCAGAACGCCCGACCCCCGACGTATCCGAAAGGGGGTCTGGCAATCCCTAGATGCCCGACACCCCGAGCTTTGTTTCTAAAAGGGGGTCCGACGTTCCCAGAACGCCCGACTCCCGACGTATCCGAAAGGGGGTCCGGCGTTCCAAGAACGCCCGACCCCCGACCGTCGTTTTCGAAAGGGGGTCCGGCGTTCCTAGAACGCCGGACCCCCGACCATCGTTTCTCAAAAGGGGTCGAGCGTTCCCTAGACGCCTGACCCCCGACCCTCACGGTGCTAATAGGGCGGGGGTCGGGCGTTTTCTGAACGCCCGACCCTTGGATGCTCTGCCATCAATGAGCGGAGGGGGGGGGTCCGACGTTCTGAGAACGCCCGACCCCCGCCCTCCACGAGCGGAGGGGGTCCGACGTTCCCTGGACGCCCGACCCCCGACCCCCGACCCCCGCGGTTTTCAGAACGCCCGACCCCCGGATGCTCTGCCGTCGATGAGCAGAGGGGGGGGGTCTGGCGTTCCGAGAACGCCCGACCCCCGCACTCCGCGAGCGGAGGGGGTCCGGCGTTCCCTAGACGCCCGACCCTCGACCCCCGCGGTTTTCAAAACGCCCGGCCCCCAGATGCTCTGCCATCGATGAGCGGAGGGGGGGGAGAGGGGTCCGGCGTTCCGAGAACGTCCGACCCCCGCCCTCCGCGAGCGGAGGGGGTCCGACGTTCCCTAGAAGCCCAACCCCCGACCCCCACGGTGCTAAGAGGGCGGGGGTCGGGCTTTTTCAGAACGCCCGACCCCCGGATGCTCTGCCATCGATGAGCGGAGAAGCGGGGGGGCATCCGACGTTCCGAGAACGCGCGACCCCCGCCCTCCGCGAGCGGAGGGGGTCTGGCGTTCCCTAGATGCCCGACCCCCGACCCCCGCGGTGCTAAGAGGGCGGGGGTCGGGCGTTTTGAGAACGCCCGACCCCCGGATGCTCTGCCATCGACGAGCGGAGGGGGGGGGGGGGGTCCGGCGTTCCGAGAACGCCCGACCCCCGCCCTCCGCG